TTTCATTTTCCCTTCGTGTGAATGCAGAATTCTATAGCCTACCGTTCTGTTCTTTTCAGTAATTGCCCATGATGTGCATCATTTTTCACATGAGCAAATTAAACTTTACCTTAAAAAGAGGTGGATGTCGGATAGGTTTTAATAAAGCTTAATTTGTCGTGACAAGATCATGCATGTGGCCGAAATGATGAGTGTTAGGTAAATCAAGTGGCAAAGTTACTTGACAACATTGTATTGAACGTTTTGGATCAAATCTTTGTCACAATAGGGTGTTTAGATTTAATGAAACTCTTAAATAAAAAATAAAAAATGAAAAATGACCATTCTAGATTTTGATTATCTTACGACTCAAAATTCTTCACGAATTGAGTTGGTTGTTTTACACTTTTCGACTTGGCTTATAAACTCACCTTATGATTTGCACAATTTTTATTAGACAATAAGTTCAAGATGATATAATGTAATATTACTATGTTTAATCTTTTTTTTTCCTCTCTCTCTCTCTCTCTTTGAGTTTCCCTGACGGGCATGTATCCTTAAGCAGTTTTCCTTCAAAGTGAATAAGGTATTCTCCAATCGAGTCTTATAATTTTGTCTTATAATTTTCCATTAAATTCGAACTCAAAATGCAATAACATGAGAAATAAATTCATTTATCACCTATCTAAGAAATGTCAATACATAATAAATACAATGAGTGCCGTGGAAAACGAGAAAGTTATCTTACATTTTGGAGTGCCACACCATGGACAAGAATGAAACAAAAATAAATAAAACGTTTATCTAACCTAGAACAGTTGCCACCCATGTTAAATTTATTTATTTTTTATTTAATGTCTTTTTCTTTTATTGTAGAAGTAATATATTTTTGGATCTACAGGTATTTCAAGCGCCAAGGTCATGACTAATCACTCATTATTCACCAAAGAGCTTGTAGTTCAATGATAGCAATTTTTTGTGATAAGAGGTCACAAGTTTAAATCTTAACAAACTAGTTTATGCTAGGAGTTTTGAATGCATGAGTTAAAAAAAAATTACTCACTATTACGTTGAGTGCATAAGATACGAATTTTTACGTGTACGAATTTTTTGTGTATACAAAAATTCGAATTTAAAACTACTTATTTAAACAACTAAAGTCTCGTCTGCTAAATCCAACCTTCTTGGATATGTGTAATGTATTTCTATAAATTGTTTTGATGATATAATTGACCATAAAGTTCAATTTCAAGATTTTAATCAAATTAATTTGTGACATGTGTAAATTAATTAATTTCTTTTATTATTATTATTATTTTGGTCGTGGGGGTGATATATTTTTATAAATTTTTAATTGTGTAATTAATGCCATAAAAATCAATCTCAAGATTTTAATAAGGTTACAAGTATTTATTAAGATAATTATTAGGTTGGATATGATGTAATTAATTGCTGAAAGCGTTTGGTTGTGATGATAAAGCACATTCCTCTACTAACCTTTTTAGAAGTGACATATTTATTTCATTAATCCCCCTCGTAAAAATATCTTAAATTTTGTCATGATAATTTTTCCAATGTATGTGAACAGAAGGTGTAATGTTTTTTTTTTCTTTATTACTTATGTGGTTAGTCTGTTTATAAACTAATTCTTATATAAAAGAAAAATTGTGCATTTATTATAGGTATAAATGATCGTAATAAATTTTAAATTTCATGCTTTGTCATTTAATTGTGTGGCAAATTTTCCATTATTTAATTTAATGCTTTAACCTTGCTCGTTCTCTTCTAAATGATATAAAAAGATTGTTTTGAGATACAGATATTTAATCTAGTTGTTTGAGAAAATGATTTTAATTTCTAAGTTATTATACATGTAAAAAAACTCTTTGAATAATTACGTTTGCCTTATACACCTTATAGAATAGTGAAGAGTTAATTTAAACTTTCGAATTTGAGATACCTTTGGCATTTATAGGAAAAAAGAAAACCAGAAAATCTTTATCTTTGTTTCATTCCACACGAGGCCGTTTGTTTCTATCCTTACATCGAAAGGTACGTAAAAAATGAAACATTAATCTCCTTGCTTCGTTTATCACATCCTTTATTCATATATTTCGTTTAATAAATTTTCTTTATTTCTAACGAATCGAGTTATGCCCTTTCAATCTCCATATCTCATCTAAAAAAAGAAAGAAAAAAAAAAAACTCATTTCTTGAATGTTAAAACACAAGAATACTAGAAGTAACATAACTTAGTTGACGCACTTTTTTTCCCCCATCTTTTGTTATTGAAAATTTAATTTCTTGATGTTTCTTTGAGCAATATTTGAGTTTTCATTTTTAAAAATTTTCAAATTATTTTTCAGAAAAAAAAAATTTTTTTTTACCCAACAAGTATAACTATGAAATTTAAAACTATATATAAAAAATACTTAAATTTATATCACTAAAAATAATTAAGCTTTTAATTAAACCGATACACGTTTCAATTTTCAAACCAAGAGGTAGGTGTTAAAGGATTGTATGGGCTCTACAATTGCTATGTCTACAAATTATCTTTCAAATTAGTCCAACTTAACATGATGAGAATGCAAGTAATGATACGAACACAAACCTTACGGTATCATATAAAAATCATTGCATTATAATTAATTATTCCGTAATTTACGTACAAGTTATTAAACAGATTTGTAATTACCGATATCAAACTTGCATAATGCGCAAGTATATATATACGGGTAGTAGTGGATGATGAACTGCTGTCGATACCAACATTTTATAAATGTTTGGGCACCAAGTTTTGACTAGAATTAAAAATACTGACCATACTGTTACCAGCCATGGAAAACAACTAAGGCTGCCCATCCGAAATCCAACTAAAAAGGTGACTGCTAATATGAAGGGGGTATTGAATGTTGTATGCTTGGCCGTCAAGAAAGCTTATCTTGTCAAGCAAACCAGGCCTGGTCAAGAAAATCCTTGTTTCATGGTCGCTTAGATATTCCTACATTCTAAGATACTCTTCTTCATCCTATAATCAATGTCCGTTTATCCTGAGATAATCAACGTTAGATCACAATACCTGAAGATGCCAAGAATACAAGAAATACTTCAGTTTAGCCGTGCAAGAAACCTGCCTAAACACGTTCGCAAGCATTCTCGAACACAATAGTTCCAAAACAAGAAAAAATTAGATCTGAAATGAAAAGAAAAGAAAAGAGAAGAGAAGAAAAACCGTTTAGAGATAAAAAAAAAAAAAAAATTACTGTTCTAGCTTGGTAACTAGTGCTGATCATTAGGTTCATCGAGAGTTGTGAGCCTTGTCGGGCTCTGTCTATGAACCCACCAATTACCCATATATGGTTCGACAACTCATGTTGGTCGATCTATCCCCTAATCTCGAATTCAATTAATTTGCCTTTTCATGAAAAAAAATGAGACCTTTTTTTTTAAAAAAAAGAAATATACCAATATTTTATTTCTTCTATCAAAGCTTCATTGTTTGTAGTTTTAAAATTTAGGCACCTCTTAAATTTAAAAGAATAACATTTTTTTATTAGAGATTTAATGAGTTTGGGACTATTCATCATTTTTTTTAATTTAAAAGAATAATATTTTATACTAATACCAATATTCTTTTTTTTTTAAGAAAAAAGAATGCATTTAGTAATATGGTATGCATTTTTTTTAAAACGTGTTTCTAATATTCTAATTTTTTTCAAATAGTTTTAATATCTTTATATTAAAATAATTTAAAAATCCTTAAATTAATATTATTTCAGTCTAATCTAAATTTAAAAAGCAATTTCAAAGACGGTACAAAAACGCTATGGACTTCGATTCCTCTCTTTACTATAAATCATCTTACTAACTCGTTCAATTATTTATGTTAGTAATATTTATATACATAATTCGAAAAGACTGGTGTGATAGTTAAAAAACATTTGCTTAATTTTTTGTTTTCTTGGCTAAATTTTAAGATAATAACAAAGAGAATTTATTAAATTTTTTAATTACATCAAACTTATATAAAAATACATCTTTAAAATCTTTCTAAAAAAATAAATTTAATTTTAATTAACATATGAAATAACTCGAAAACACTTTTATAGTCGAATTAAAAAAAATATATAACCATTTATATCTCATAATATACATAAACAATAACTTATTATCATCCGAAAAATATATACGATCTGCGAAACGGAGAAGGTGAAAACAGTTTGACCTTGTTTGGTTTCAAAATCTTTTTAGGTGACTCAACAGCAAACAGCAAACTGACGTCCAATATTAAAGTAAGAAGCCAAATCCAAACCAAAAACTTTTTTTCAAAAAAAAAAAAAAAAAAAAAAAACAGAGAGACAGAGACGTAAACGGAGACTCTTGTCCTTCTATTTTCTCTTTTCCCAAAATTAAATCATTCATCTTTTCATTATCTTCTCTCTGTCTCTCTCTCTCTCTCTCTAAAATTCCTCTTAAAACTCCCCCTCCCCCCAGAAAAAAAAAACTTATCAAATTATTCACAAAATCAAATTCTCTGTACCATAATAATTAATTCAATTATTTTTTTAAAACAATAAAAAATATTTAATCCTTTCTCTCTGTATATTCCTCCATTTCTCTCAACTGTTCTCTTAATTGGGTCTTCTTCGATCCTTTTTTCTCCCTTTCAAAACCCCCCAAAAAAAAAAAAAAATTTCCAATTTTTTTTGAAGCTGAATCAGTTGTTTTGTGTTTATTAATTTAATTTAATTCAATTTATTTTTTTTCCCTATTGTTGGTTTTTCAAATAATATAAATTTGGAAGTCATGGATGCAGTTGTGACCTAGAGGATTCAAATTTTCTTTGGGGTTAAATTTAGGTTTTCTTTTTTCTGCTTGATTTTTCTATCAGGGTTCTTTGATTCTTCAAAAAAGTAGCAGTCTTTTGTTATGCTAAAAGGAGAATTTGGAGAATCAGAGGTTATAGCAAATTGGGTAGTTGTTGCCTTTGTTTTTTTTCGGCTTTTGCCACTACTATTATGAGGAATAGTAGTATTAGCGGTGATGTTCAACAACAACAGCAGAAAAATTTGCAAGGGAGAGTTAATGGTAGCAATAATCATAACGGGTTTTTCCCGAGCTCGTTTCGGGCGATTTCGAGTTATTTGAGGATTGTTTCGTCCGGTGCATCTACGGTTGCTAGGTCTGCTGCATCGGTTGCACAGTCTATTGTGGATAAAGATGATGATGCCAATCATGATCAGGTAAAAAGTCAATAGTTTTTTTTTTTTGTGTGTAAAATTGTAGAGAAGCGAAGAGGTTAGATTGTTGATTTGTGGTTAGAGAGATTGAATGTGCAATTTAATTATAAAGCTCTACGTTCTTTTTGCCCATGATGATTTTTTTTTTTTTTGAGATTTGTGTAGGTGTGTTTTAATGTGCGAATCTAGTGTGCCAAAGTTGAGTTTGGGAGTAAAGTGGGATTTTTGAAGGGGAAGCAGTTCATATATGGTTGGTGATTTAGTTTGGAAATTTTAAGATGCTGGTGTTAAATTTGCGATCTAAGTCTAGATTATGGAGTTTGAATGTGCAAGATAGCTCATTTATGGTGTTTTGATACAGTTATATTTAAACGCGTTCTTTGTTAATTGGAAGTGGTTTAATTCTGGTTTGTTATTTTTAGTTTTAAAAGAGGGAATGGTGGATGGATAGCGAGGGAAGGAAGAGGAATAGGAAAGGTGCTATCTTGAATGACTGAGTGGATTATATACTTTCTTGAACCCATCCATTACTTTGATTTGGACCTTTTTTCAAGTGACCAAAGTTGAAAAGATTATGAGAGAAGGCATGAATCCAGTAGGTTTTTGCTTTCTTACTTTTTATCTAAACACGCTTTTCTTAGTCAAATCAAACAAGAGAGTTTGGGTTCAATGTTTGAGTTCCTTCCTTTGCTTGCTTGTCAAATAACTAGAGAGATGAATTACTTTTTATCTTATTTCCTTGTAGTTGTAAGCCAACTCATCTTTTTCTTAACCATATAGACTTTTCATGTGAAAGATATGCTGAACTCTGATGCTTGACATTTCAAACTTGTTGCATAAATTGGGTGCTGGGGGACTTCAAAGATATGTTTCAATTGATTTAGGGAACATTGATATAAACAGAAGTCTTCCGTAATTTTATTTTGGATTAAATTGGTGATGGCCATATTTTTGTTCTCTGCTGCAATTCAAAAAGAGTGAAAAATCTAGCATGCTTAGTTGTATAATCCACAATTAATTGGATGTAATGCTAGTGTGTGATTTCTGGTCATAATGGAGAGAGGTTGAAATACTGGGTGCTCATAATAATAATGTGAAACTAGTTGAAACTTCAGTGGATCTCTGCAGCTCACTCTGAAAGTGTTGGACTTAGAGATACAGTTTTATTTTTGTGCAATTTGAGATTCGAGAATTCTAGCCTGTCCATTTCAAATTGTCAGAAAGCTGAATGTTTATGATGTAATCTAAATTAAATGTGCATTTGGAAATAGACCATCTAACTTTCTGGTTGGATGCCATGCTAAAGACCAGAGAGATTTGGTTTCCATGCGCTGACTGTGTATGCATTTGTTCGTTAAGATATTGTTTGCTAATTGTCAAAATTGTGGATATACCACTTGCATACATCTTGATGAGCCCTTAAACATGAACATTTGATGATTGTTTAGAATTATGGACATCATTGGCAAGTTATATTTTGTGAAGATGGACCATGATAATAAGTAATGCAAGGATAATTTTTTATGAAAGACTAAACAAGTGCAATTTCTTTGATGATAGAATGTAATAACGACTGATGTCTTGCATGTGTTGCTTGCATGGCTTTTGTTAATTTAATTTTCACATGAAACTTCATTGAGCTGTATCTGGATGGGTCAGTTACTTGAAGCTGGATGGATGTAGACTGGCTTGGTTTATGTGGCAGTGTTTTATGAGTGAGTGAGATTTTTTTTAAAGAGCTTTCTACATTCTGATAATCTATTTTGAGAAATATTTTACTGACTGAATTTTAATGCCACAGTTTATGAAATTTGAACCTAAGCTTCAATATCATGTCCACCAAACAATGACTGCCTCTTTTTTGTCACAATTTTCAAAACTTCAAGAATAAATTGACTTTGGCCCTAGGTTTCTGTTTTTCTTTTTGTCAATGGAGGTAAGATTGTTGATATTATACTTGCATGCATTTAGCGAACGATCATTCCAAGGATAGCAAACCAGGATCTCGATTCTCATTTCATGTTTTCCAAATAGACTGCAATAATTTTGTTGGCTTGATAGCGGTCAGGCTTTTTTTCTACCTCCTGCAGATACTCTGTTTCTTCTTCAGTTGGGAAGTTGCTAGTCAACTGGAAAACTGGTATTACTAGCAGTTTAGTTCTGGAAGTTTTGAAAAGAATTTGATGTTTGGTTGAAAGATTATGATTGCCTTGAATGAATTTTAGGTCCTTAGCAAGTGTAGTTTATCCTGCATTACCTACTAGTTTGGACTGAGGCTTTGAGTTGGTTTGAGCATCCTTCATTGATGTGGGCTTGTCATGTTCACTGTCTTCTTAGAAGGAATTTGTTTGCATGTGCCTTTTGCATTTATCTGTTTTTTTTTTTTCATTTATTTTTACTGTTATGTTTCATTCTATACTGTGGTTTGTGCTCTTTCTTATCCTTCATTTTGTGCCTGATTAGAATCATATCTTTTCTGGAGTTCTTGAAATTATTATTTGAGTGGAGATAGCTCTGATCTTATATGATCTGTACAATATTCAGGTCCGCTGGGCTGGGTTTGACAAGTTGGAGGGTGATGATGATGTCATTCGGCAAGTCCTCTTGCTGGGATATCGTTCTGGTTTCCAGGTTTGGGACGTGGAAGAAGCGAATAACGTCCACGACCTTGTTTCCAGGCATGATGGCCCTGTGTCATTCTTACAAATGCTACCAAAACCATTAACATCCAAGAGATCTGAAGACAAGTTTGCATACAGCAGACCTCTTTTAGTAGTTTGTGCTGATGGGGCACAAGATGTGCCTGCTACTTTATTCAGTGGGAATGTCTCTAACAACCATGATCCTGCTAATGGTAGCACTGTGCCAACTGTTGTCCGGTTTTATTCTCTTAGATCTCAATCTTACGTACATATGCTAAAGTTCAGATCAGCTGTTTATTCTGTAAGGTGCAGTTCTCGAATTGTGGCTATTTCTCAATCAGCTCAGGTTTGTTTGCTTGTGCAAATCTGTCTTTTTTCAAGCAGTTTATTTTTCAGGATGTGGTAATTAGGCTTAATCTGCTGCAGATACACTGTTTTAATGCAACAACATTAGAGAGGGAATATACTATCCTTACAAACCCTATGGTCATGGGTTCTCCTGGTTCTGGGGGTATAGGCTATGGGCCTCTTGCAGTTGGTCCCAGGTGGCTGGCTTATAGCGGAAGTCCAGTTGTGGTTTCTAATTCCGGACGTGTGAGCCCGCAACATCTAACTCCTTCTGCAAGTTTTTCTGGTTTGACTTCAAATGGGAGTTTGGTTGCTCATTATGCAAAAGAATCAAGCAAGCAACTTGCTGCTGGAATTGTGACCTTAGGAGACATGGGATATAAGAAGTTGTCCAGGTATTGTTCGGAGCTCATACCTGATTCCCATGGTTCCCTCCAATCAGGGAGTCCTGGCTGGAAAAGCAATGGCAATGTTAATGGCCATTTTCCAGATGCAGATAACATTGGAATGGTGTGTATTGTGTTTCTTCTTATGTTTTGTTTCAAGTGCTAGTACTTTGTTTTCCACTCTGTTTCTGTTTGTGCTTGAGCTAATTCTAAATTAAATGTGTTTTGTTTGTTTTAATGAGCTTTGTTGGAGAGAATGCATGAATATTACTTGATAGCAATGGCATGATAAGATTATTAAGTTACACTCCTATGTAAGTAAACTTCTGCTCGGGCATGTTATGTGAGGAAGTAGGTATGAGATTATGCTACTGTTTTTCATCTGCAATAGTTTTTTCTGCCTCGTTTTTTATTTTCTTTATGAACTGGAACAATCATGATTGCTCTTGTAGAATTTTTGCCTCCTTATATACTCTCTGTTTTTTCAGGTTGTTGTCAGGGATATTGTTAGTAAACTTGTTATTTCCCAGTTTAGAGCACACAAGAGTCCTATCTCAGCATTGTGCTTTGATTCTAGTGGGACCCTTTTAGTGACTGCCTCAGTCCAGGGTCATAACATTAATGTTTTCAAAATAATGCCCGGACTGCAAGGAAGCTCTTCTGCTGGTGATGCTGGTGCATCTTATGCACACCTGTACAGGCTGCAACGTGGATTTACAAATGCAGTAAGACCAGAACAATTGGTTCTACATTTTGTTTTGGATTATTTCACCATTAGCACTTAGATTTGATCTTTGTTTATTTTGTTTCTTCTGGATTTATTTCTCAGGTTATACAGGACATCAGTTTCAGTGATGACAGCCACTGGATTATGATAAGTTCATCAAGGGGTACAAGCCATTTATTTGCTATTAATCCATCGGGAGGATCAGTGAATTTTCCATCTTCTGAATGTAGTTATGTGGTAAAAAATAGTGGATCAGGAGGAATGTCTAAGCCAACTGTTCGTTGCCCTCCCAGTTTAGGTTTACAAATGCATAATCACCAGAGCCTTTGTGCATCTGGCCCCACAGTTACACTCTCTGCTGTCAGCAGAATAAGAAATGGAAATAATGGTTGGAGAGGCACTGTAACTGGTGCAGCAGTGGCTGCTACTGGCAGACTAGGTTCCCTTTCTTGTGCTATTGCTTCATCTTTTTACAAATGCAAAGGCAATAATGATGTGTATGTGGATGGAACCTCTTCCAAGTCAAAGTACTATCTTCTAGTTTTCTCTCCTTCTGGTTCTATGATACAATATGCATTGAGGATATCAGCTGGCGTAGATTCAATTACAGTCAGGTCTGGTGTTAATGCAACTTATGAATCAGCTGCAGAAAATGATGGAAGATTAGTAGTTGAAGCAATGCAGAAGTGGAATATATGTCAGAAACAAAATCGAAGAGACCGAGAAGATAATGTTGATATATATGGTGAGAATGGGAATCCTGATAGCAACAAGATACATCCTGAAGGCATAAGGAAAGGAAATATTATATATCCTGAAGATAAAGGTGCAGTCACAAACGCAAAAATCAGCCATGAGGAAAAGCGTCATTTGTACATTTCAGAAGCTGAATTGCACATGCATCCACCTCGTTTCCCATTATGGGCAAAACCTGAGGTACTTAAAAAAAATGTTAATAAAAACATGCTCATTTTATACTGTCTGAAATTCCTGTCAATTGCTTGCCAGATATACTTCCAATCGGTGATGACAGAGGGGATTGAAGTGGATGATGCAAGTGCAATGCAAGGGGAAATTGAGATTGAAAGAATTCCAACTCGCATGATTGAAGCAAGGTCAAAGGACTTGGTCCCACTTTTTGACTATCTTCAAACACCAAAATTTCCTCATACAAGGTGCCCTGAAATTCTGTATATTTATTTACTTTTCTTATTTTCCGGATTCAAGCCTTCAATTTTATTGAAGAAAACTCATTAGCCCCCCAAAAATGAAAAATTCCTTAAGTTTATTAAGTGTCAAAAGATTTGGCCATTTAGAAATTTGAGTTGAATTTTGTTTGCAGAAGACTCATGTTTCCTACCAAAATGTATTTGTTTCTTGGCACAAAATTTTATATTTTTGCCAATTTAGTATCATTTTGGTTCACTTATTTCTATTCAGAATGATTTGTTTTGGAATAATCTTACCTGACACAACTTTATCTGTAGAAAGGGGGAAAAAAAAGTGTGACTGTGGCAATCAAATATCTGGGATTATTGTTTTTTTCACATGATTATATTCTTTATTTATTTCCTTAGAAGATGGCCTCAAAGTCTATCAAAATAATGAGGTGATGTTGGATTCTAATGTAGATGATTGTATTTCTTTTTCATCTTCAAATTAATTCATTTCCTCAAGTGCTATTAAGTTGATTGGTCTTTGGATAAACATTTTGATTTATGGGAGAACATATATTTTTGTTAGCTGTTTAGATTGGGGCATTTTTTGAGGGATGTCTAGGTATTTAAGCCTTTATTCATAGATGCTGTCCTCCATGATGTTGAAGATAAGTTGGATGATGGAATTATGTTTCATATCTATGATCAAGGAAAAAAAACTGTATTTAATTTTTTAGCTACTGGAGCTGCTAAGTTTTGGAACTTATGGTGTTATTATAATTTTTTATTGGAGTACACATCCTTGGATTTTTTTTTTTAGCATTGTTTTATTTCTTAATTCCTGTTTTTTCTTTTCTAAGTTTTTTGGAACAGTGAAAACCCCATATTAATATCATGCAAATAACATCTCTCTCACACACAGGGTTCCTTTGGATATCAATAATAATGGGAGTCTGCAGCATCAAAGTTCTGGGCTGTCTGAAAATGGCAGGCTTTCTTGCAGAAGCAGCTCTGGCTCCCTTGACTCCATGGCTGAGAATGGTGCTGTAGTGGCTGAACTTCACAATGGTGTTGAAGAAACTGGGTGGAATGGCCCTACTATTCCAGTAGAAACTAGGGGCCTTGTAAATAGCAATGGCAGCCTTAAAACAAATAATCGGCTTGAGGTTGTAAATAGTAGAGAGAGCTCAAGAATGGAGGCTCAACTCAAGTTTGTAAATAATAACAATGAAGGACTGAAAATGGAGAATCATTTTGAAGATGAAGGTGATGAATTTGATTAGAGGTACTTTTCTACCCTTGAAATCTTTCAGTTAATCAAAACGTGTGCCTTCAGAACTGTATTAAGCAAAATATTTGATTATTCTGTCATACTCTAATGTGCAACTCTCTCTTTCTTTCAGTTGTGCAGTTATTCTTTTATTCTGTGGAAGGTTCATTAACCATGTTAATATTGTGGATGGAGTTGTAGACAAGAGTGAGGCTTAGGTGGCTTGACGGTGAAGCGGAATTGTAGATACTACTATGTTATTGGGGTTTCATATTTCTGCTGACGTTGACGTTGTAAATAACAGACAAATATTCCCAGTGATCAGCAGTGATGTGTAAATAATAGCACAACTTCATAACTTTTAATTCTTAATTCTGTTCCAAAATTTTACTTTTTATTCCGTTCTTGTCCAAATTTGTTGACATTTAAGTTTGTCATATGTTATGACGATAGAATGTTCCGGCGCACCTTTCAAATAAACCCGGGGAAATATGTTTTGTCCAGGTTATGCTTGTCTGGATGCGCTTGTCGAGTACTGATGATTTCTTTTTGGCAGTGTAATGGATCAGGAATTATTGTTCTGGCAACGTTTCCCACTTTTCCTTCTTTGGACCCAGTCAATATTTAATCTCTCTAAATATTAAGGTCAACGGCCATTTCTTATCTCCAGAGGAGGCTGGGGCAGACAAATCCTACCTGGGCGTGTTCTTTTTTCTGCAATAGATCAGTAAAAACAGCCGGGGTTTCAAGTGGATATTGTTTCATAGGGTAAGTGGATGATATGATCTTTCTAGGTAAGCAAGTACACTTTGAAGCGTCTCCTGTCATGAAGTACTATGGAAGAGAAGGTTCTTATTAAAGTTTGAAGTTGACTGTTACGAATGAAAGTGGAAATCACGACAAGCAAAGTTTCTTGTAGTGTACAGATACAGTGACTGAATAATTGGTCGATGTGATTGCTGGATATCAAACGAACAAATATGGTATTATACGGAATTCAGATCTCTTAGCTTACAAATAAGAACATGACCAAAGGAGGCACATGTCATCATTTCTACCATATCTGTCAATTAAATTTCTGGTGTCACTGAGCCAATGAGGCTTTGGTTGGAAGTTTCAGTCACAAAGAAAGGAATTGCAAATGCAAGCAATCAGAACATCTTCTCTCTCTTTTTTCCTTTCTTTCTTTTATGTTGTTGCAGGTGATGCTGCTTATCGCAGCGTGGCATTTCCAACGAGGTGCCCAATCTGATTTTTTGGAGACAATGCGTTATGATAATAACATCATACGGTATGTGCCCTAACTACCTAATTTCCTCTCACATTTTTATTATTATACAAATATACTGAAAGAGAATATTGTTTCACTATAGTTAATTTTATGCTGCTATAGTAGACAAAACGACGTTGTTTTATGTATTTTGGGTTCAAACGACTTTTTTTTTTTTTTTTTAAGTGATGTTTTTGGATATTTTATGCAAATGGTTTACACTTATGGTCAGGGGTGAGCAAAATTGGATAAAAACCAAAAAACCCAAATTGAACCGAATCAAAATTGCTATTTTATTTATTTTTTTTAAGAAAAAAAAACTAACTGAAATTATTTTGGTTTTTGGTTATTTGGTTATAAGAATGCTTACATTCTTATAGATTTTTAGGTTCTATTTCTATGCAAAACGGTTACTCAACTTAATTTGTGTTTCAACAAGGTCTTTTTTATTTTTATTTTTTATTATTTTGGCTGGACATTGTTTCCAACCCAAATGATTGGGCTCGATTGTCTTAGGCCCATCTAAAAAGTTTTTTTTTTTTTTTTTCCTTCATGCTTTTAGCGTAATGTTGTACAAAACCGTCTTTACACTTAATTTATGTTCCAACAAAATTCGTGTGTTTTTTTTTAATGGTTTGGCTGTTCTTTTTTCTCAAAAGTGGTTATTTTTTTTTAAAAAAACATTCATTAACTAAAATTAAACACTTTTCTAATATAAATTGATTTAACATCCTCTTTCTAATTTATTTTTTTAAAAAAAGAAATAATTGATTGCACATTTTTTTTTGTTGATTAAAAATCGAACATATTCATATGATATATTTAAACTCAGTTATAAAATATAAATATTTTATTAAATATTGCACAGTAAAAATTAAATTAAACAAATTCTTGCAATCGGTGCTAATTAATTTTTTTTTTACATTTAGATTTTTTAAATTATTTAAGATATTAAAATATATTATATAGATTTATCCACGATAATGCACTTAAACTACGTTAATGAAAGCTATTTCATAAAAGATTTCAGAAAAATACTAAATGGACAAATTCCAATACGAGAAACTTGTTTTTGTGTGTCCGTATCTGTTGAAACTTCATCGCCAGAATTCTAAGTTGTTTCTTGTCCTGTTTTGAATCCTGTGAACCAAGAATAATTGGAATGCCACTAATGACCATAATATTCTTTATGAGCTATCTTCCTATAATTGATAACTGGCTATAAGGATGCTCACATTTTCGTTTAGGAGGAAAGGAAGGTGCACTGTGTGGGTCATAAATTCTGAAATTGAGTAACGTCTAGAAGAAACCTGAAGCAATCATTGGTCTGCACACAAGGACAAAGTTACCTGGATTGTGCTCTTACATTGCCTGTCAAGTAGAGACTAAGCACGATCGTCTATAATTAAAAAAAAAATGTCAATTCATTGCCTGCATCCCGAGTGGTTTGGTGTAGGATTGCATGATTGACTTGGTGTAGGGATTCTGCCAAACCAATTGGCTCCACCACTGCGATTCCCCTCTTGTTTGTTGTATGGTATTTGGATTTTGGCCGGAGAGAGGCAGTTTGCTGAGCAATTTGCACCTTTTCACATCAATCTGCTCTATGCTTGGCCATGATTCATCTTGTCTGCAAAAGCTCCTCCATTTAGGCAGGTTCTTCAGCTCTACTGTTCGAAGGCTTGTGAAAACAGGCTGTGGAGGCAAATTTTACTTGAAAGGAGACCTAAAGAGCTCTTCCAAATTGGCAAAGAGGCTTAGCTTGATTTCTTCCAGGTTTTGTAAAGCGAGACGGAAACTACCAAAAGAGAGAAGATTTCTCAAACAGGGACATTATCAACTCTTATTAACCTTAATCTAGTACGAAACAATCCAAGGTGGCCATCTCATTCTGAAATGCTTTCCAGATAACTCAGGCAACTAGATAGAGCTCTTCTAGATATGGCAGCATTCCATAATGGCTGCACATCTTCCTGCTGGTCGTAGGCTCCTGTTGGAGTTTGAAATGGTCGAGGATTTCAACGAGCAAACAACTACTAAGGTTATAAGCATTTGATTCAAACCCCAACAACGGTTTAAGACCAACGATATTGTGTTAATCAATAACCACCCTATTGACTATTCTGAAAAATCCAGACCGTAGATGGTCTCTCCTTTTGTCATGTCTGGTCGGCAAGGAGTTAGCTTGTTGACCAATGAAAAATTGGAATCTTCTTAATCTTCCCATCCAGGTAATACTTTAGGAGCCAAGCGATGGGATGCAATTCAGTATTTTAGACAAAACTTCCAATTGCTTGTGGCTTATCAACTCTTCAAAAGTTGCTTGTTCCTTGACACCCTAATGATAATTACTAAGTGTCAAGTTGCTATATGTTACGTCTCACATAAAAGAGAGATTTTTCAGGAGGCTAATTGGGAACACTAGATAAATCCGAAAGCCTTTAGAAGATTATGAAACAATGGAGAAGTCTCTAGGTTGTTCAAGAGAAACTAAATAGGTCCTAAAGAATTCTAGAGAGTCTTTTATGATTCTAACTTATACATATCTAGATAGTTCCTTATAAATATCTAATTAGGAGAATTCTAAAGAATCATTTGTAGCCATTAGATCAAATAGATCATAACCATCCATTGAGGGGTGAAAGAATATAGATAGGGAAGGTTTTCATTTGGCCAAAGCATTCAATTTGTAAAATCCAAGAGTTTTAAGCTTTAGAGAGAGAGATACAAAAAGTTTGTCTATTATCTTTTTTTTTGTGTGTCTTTCTAATTTAACAACTATGTATGAAAGAAGGCTGACTTGATTTGGCTTAGAAGAGAAATAAGCCAAGTGTCGCACGAGAGCTTGAAAAAGGCTAAGTCCATGACAAGTGGTATTAGAGTTGAGTTCTATTAAGCGTGGCTAAGCTTGCGGTTAGCTAAGCATTCAAAGAGTAAGCAAGTCTAGCTTTGGTGTTGAGGATGTTGTTGGAGACATTAGGAAGGAGACTCTACCTTCTCAACCTAGGAAGGAAAAGTAGAAGTCCCATGACGTGATGGTTGTCTACGTGAGGTGCTCTTCGATATTCGAACTTGATTAGAGACGGTTGAGAGGTGAGCCAAAGAGAGTGCTATCGAAAAGGATGTCTTCATGGAATAGATGAAGGAAATGTTCAAGCAATATCAAGAGTCTATGACCAAGTATGAGCAAAATCTTGAACAACTTAGAAAAGATCGGATAATTTTCCAAAAAGCCATCTCTAATGGTGTGGTCTTAAGGGACACATTGAAAGTTAAAGTGTCAAGATTAAGGCACCATGTTGGCAAGCGGTATGCTAAGAAAGTTGATAATTTCTTTTGGCAAGTGGAGCAATACTTTGAGTTGGTAAGCTTGATTAAAGATAGGAGTTGTGCCAAGATCGATACTCTCTACGTTCTATAGTGAAACCAAAACAAGGTCATTTTTTGAAAAAAAATAAGTGATGTTTTGTCGATTTGTTTGATTATTTATACTTTGATTATCTAAGTTATTAATTTATATAAACAGATCGTTAATATTAATTAGTATTACAAATAGGTCCCTAGATTTTTTTTTATACTGAATTTAGGTTTATTTTTTCATTATTTATTATTTACTCAAAATAATTTTTTTTCATAATTACTCTTTTTATTTTTGTAAAGACTCATTAGCTAAATTTAAACATTCTTCTAATATAAATTGATTAAGCATCTTCTTCTAATTTGATTTTTTTAATAAATAATGAATTGCATGTTTTTTTTCTTTATCAAAATAAAAATATTCCTACGATATATTTAAACACACACACACACACACACACACACACACACATATATAAAACAAATTTTTAGAATCAGTATTAATTTATTTTTATATTTTTGAATCATTTAAAATATTAGAACATGATATATAATAAACTTATCCGCGATAACGCGCAGGTATTGGGCTAGTATAGGCTAATTGGTAAAATCTAATTAAACTCTTGATCTTCCGTTTTTATAATTTTGACACTTCGATCTATGAGGTCAAAGTAATTAATGGAAATTAGATAATTTCTTTTGTTTTTCCATGAGGATGAGAAAGCTAACAGAGTTGGTTAATTGCTTTGACCTGACAGTTCGAGCTACCACAATAAAAAAAGGAAAGTTTTTTTTTTTTCCTTTTACTAGAATCATATATGCGGTATCGGTGTGGTAAGTAACTCATCAGAAATGAATGTTGCTGTGAATTGTGAGTTATTCCACTTGCGTATATGCAACAGCAACACTACCTGATAAATTATATGTATAAATTCCAAAATGCATTAATACACAGAAATCTTATCGAGAACAGCAGGTATCTTGGAATGTTTATTGAAGGAAATTTCATTATGGAAGTGTATATAATTATGGCATTAGTTTCTCTTCAGGGTCTTCCTACTGAAAGGCTGAACACTTTCTTTATCTTGCAGTTTATTACACAGCAAAATCCAAATTTGAATAAGGAAACGGAAGGGGGAAAGAATATTTAACAGCCATACAAAAGCTCTCAATGAAGACTAAAACAACAAAGATTAACCCTTTCTTGGTGGGGAGGGAGTACTGAGCTTCACGTCAAGTTTGCCTACCAACTTCTCTCTAGAGTTTCTGGTTCTTCCGCCCTATAAACATAGAGAACAATCCAGAATGTAGTTAGACTGAGTAAAATTAGGATAAGCTATTCTTCTTTAGGAATCTACAACAATCTGTACTCAATAAAAATAGATTCAGAAAAGAAAACAAGGAAATAAACTGCTTCAGCTATTTAGTAAGCCACCTCTCTTCTTTTCTGAGCTGTGTTGTTGGGACTGTACATGCTTGGAATCGTCTCTGAACAAGGGATTTAATCTCATAATCTTGCCATGTGATATAATTCCACCATTCCAGTTCTCCTCTTATTTCTTTAATAGCTGCAGCATTGTAGGCTGTGATGGGCAGCTTGACCAACAATGGGCAGTTTCTCACCCCAATCCTCTCCAGAACTGGCAAATGTACTGTTCTTATGCATACACTCCTCAGATTGGCCAAATCCCACACTTCTATAACTTTTAACTTCGGAAGCTCTGCATTAGATGCAGTTTCTGCTATAAGACGTTTAATCCTCCTACATTCACCCACCCTAATCTCTTCAAGGTTATTCAATCATCGAACATAAGAAAAGGATATTAGCTGTTTCTCCAATCTTCGATAATCTTCCACTTCTAATGTCTTTAACATGCCGAGGCAGCCTTTTTTAGGTACAAATCCTTCCAAAATAGCTAATAGATTTTTCAAGTGACTAAGTTTCACGTGCTCCAAATTAGGTAACATGCTTTTCAGGATAGTCTCCCCATTTATCAAACTTGTAATGCAATCACAACGTGATATCGTCAAAGACTTCAAGCCTGATAGGCCAAACAAATTATTCCTGACAAATACTTCAGATAATTTATTAATGCCCCCACAAGTTACAAGGTCCAGTGCATTCGCATTGCAGAGTAAGCCTTCAAGTCCTCCACTCATCAGGTCAACCCCTCTAAGAATGACCCTTTTCTCATCATGTCGAGTAGGCAGATAATTTGAATCACAACTCCTTTTATTAACCCTTATGTTGAACTTCCTCAATCGTTTCAACCAGTCACTTTCTAGGGAAAGGCAATCGACGACGTCTAGCCTTACGTGAAGAACTGAAATTTGTTACAATCATAATAACTCGTCAAATGCTGCTCTTGGTTCTCCCACATTACCACTGGCATCCCATTTATAAGCATTGGAAGACATGTCCAAGGCCTCAAGACTGGATAATCCCAAAAGTGTTCCAGTTCTGTTGTTTTCTAAGTAAAGGGTGTGGGACAAGTTTAAATCTCTGAGATTACCAAGCATACCCCCTTTCCAGGGCAGTTCTCGTAGACTTGTGCCAGAGCCCAGAGAGATCAAGCACTTGGAGTTCACAAAGATCTCCAAGTGGGGGTACTTTCTAGAAAACGACAATCTCGTACAAGAAAGGCCCTGAGCTTCACTAGATGAAGTAGTGTAGAAGGCAAGGATTTAATCCGAGTCCCACTTAAATTCAGGACTCTAAGTGCTCTTAGTTCTCGAAAAAAGTTATCAGTTATGTTTTCTAGAGGATTACCTTGGAGTAGTAGCACAGTCAGCCTCGAGCATCTAAGCAGTTGGCTAGGCAACCTTGTAATGTTGTAGTTCATAAATGAAACCATTGTGAGAGATTTCTGCAACTTCTGTGGTCTTACAAACACTGAAGTACCTGCTTGGCAAGAGAATCCTGTTTCCTTTAAATTCCATATGGCAACATCCCTTGCCACCCCGTGCATTCTTATAGTTCCAGTGCCTTCACCTTGTTCTAGCATGCAAGAATCCTTTAAATTTTCAATCAAAGAATCCCATAATTGAATGACTGCTCTAGAGTTTGATGATCATCAATCAAGCCATCGGCTATCCAACATTGTATCAGTTCATTTGCTTTGATTGAGAAGTTTTCTGGGTATAAAGAGCAGTACAAAAAGCACCACCGATGAATCTTACTTGGTAACGAGATATAACTCAAATTCAATGGCAGATAAATTTCCTCCATGAAACTTCTGACATGAAGTATTGAACGTTGCAATTGGCAAAGCACATTCTCCCAGAGCTCAATCATGATTTTGTTCCTCATTGAACTCCCCATGGTTTTGATTGCTATTGCTCTTGCTAGAGGATTTATAACTTCCAACTCAACAACATCTCCTGCGCTTTCTGCAAACAAATTCCAAGCTGCTTCTTCATTCAATACTTCCATCTTGATGTGTACATTGGTCATCATTCCCCTGCACACATCAAGATTTCTTGTGGTCAATAGATCTTGCAGTTGGCATGTTCACCACCTTGTGGAATACCCACAACGTCCAAACCAAGTTTCTCCCAAACATCATCAAGAATGAGAAGAAACTTTATCGTCATCAATGTTTCATGCAGTTTCATAGCTCTTCCTTCTGTGCTCTCTCCAACATCAAATTCTAAATTCAATCTCTCAGCAATTCGAGATTGAACCCTTCTCAAGTCCAAGTCTAAGTCCTTTGACACTGTGACCCAAATGACTCCATCAGAGGAGAAGACTCAAGACGATTATTGAAGTTTTTTTACCAGTGTAGTCTTTCTGATTCCCCCCATCCCCCAGACAGCAATCCTTTTGATGCCACCATCATTCAAGCATCGCATAAGCTCCTCTAACATTTCTTCTGTCGCTTTCTGACCTGCAAGAGATGGTGCTGTCATATTCTCCATAGGTTTTATCGGAGGCTTTCGGTCAAACACCGTGATTTGCAAAGTGCATGAAGCAATAAGCAGTTGTTTAACCTCTTCACACTTTTTTTTAACCGTTTGGAGGAGTAGAAGACGGTAATGCATACAGCAGTCTAGATTGCTTCCATAGATAGAAGCATTGCCAGGATCCTCCAGCATCAGCTGCACATCACACTCAATTTCCTCGATCTTTTTTATCCAATCAATAGCTTGTGATGTTGGATCCTTCCCTTCTGTTAAGGCTAGCCTAATATCTTCTTCTAAATCATTCTTTCGCCTAATGAGTTTTTCTAATTCACTCTGCAGTGATTTAATGTTAGCATGGAGACTTAAAAGGGAGGAAATCTTTCTGAAAAGAAAGATGGACATACGTTTAGTAACTTCAGGAACAAATGCACCCACGATTTCCATGGTAATTAAGCTTAGGTCTAAGAGATGAACATGGAAAGAGCATTTATAGGGTTGTAATAGCACAAATACCAAAGAAGATCCTAGCTCCTAAGGGATTGATTAATAAAACAAGAACAAGGTCTTGATGAAGCTTGTAGTTCATGATCACGTACCGATACAAAGCCATGCACCGGATCTTGCACCAGATTTTGTTCCTTTTGTTTTTGAATATTTTGTAATACAATTAATGAATGTACTGAAGTTTGAATGACTTGTGGTGGAACTTAATTTCAGCTTTAGACAAGGGAACAAATTTCCTTAAATTATGGAAATTTGGTAGTGACTTACTTTTTGTATCATTATAAACATGTCTCTGCAGTAATGAAAAGAGTGAGTTCCTTTTCATTTTTTGTCTATCTTCTTCCTTTTTCATACGCATATACCGAAACTTCCTACATCCGGTATCGGAGCTACAATTGATCTTTTGGGACTTTGTGTGAGAGAAAACAAGTAAGAAAACCTCACTTAAAAAACCATAAACACTTGACGATTTGAGTGATTTTTATGATGGCTACAAACGGTAGTATTTACGCTCTTTCTCCTCCAATCTTCACTGGAGAAAATTATCATGTGTGGTCTCGTGAAGATGGAAGCATATCTCGTGGGTTTGCTATTGTGGGAAGTCGTTGAATCGGACTTTGAAACCGAATTGCCGGACAATCCAACTTTGAATCGACTTAGAATGTATGAAGAAAAGGTCTCTAGAAAATTTAGAGCCTTGAGTAGTCTTCATTCAGCGATAAATGAGACTATTTTCACAAGGATTATGGCATGCAAGACGAGTAAAGAAGTCCGGGACAAGTCGAAGTCGAATTTCAAGGAAGTGAAAAGACAAAACAGATGCGGATCTTTAATTTAAGAAAGGAATTTGAATTTCTCGGGATGAAAGAGGCCGAGAATGTGAACGAGTACATTGATAGAGTTATGAAAATTATTAATCAAGTAAGGTTGTTAGGTGAGGACTTACCGAAAGAAGAGTTGTAGAGAAAGTAATGGTAACTCTTCCGGAAAGATTTGAGGCAAAAATCTCTTCACTTGAAGATGCTCGGGATTTATCTCGGCTTTCTCTCGTAGAGCTTGTAAGTGCTCTACAAGTCGTTGAACAAAGAAAAGCATTTAGAGAAGAAGAAGGCTCAATCGAAAATGCACTTTTTGCATCCTAAAGAGCAAAAATGCGGACTAATGATGCAAAGAGAGGCCCTCATTCAAAGAGAGGTAAAGACAAAAAATTTAATCAAAGCAACATGAGAAGGAACAAGAGAGGCAAGTATCCACCTTGTCTTCATTGCAAGAAGACAAACCACACCTGAAAATTATTACTGGTACGGACACGGGGTTCAATGCAAAGCATGTAAGTTCGTTTGGACATGTTGAAAGAGTTTGTCCGAGAAATGGTGGTCAACAAAATCAAGCTCGACTCGCACAAGTCATCGAAGGACTCGAAGGTCGGGAGGAGAAACTTTTTGTTGTTGCTTGCTGAATGTTTAGCTGCAACTCAAAACACTAATGCTTGGATGATCGACGATTGTCTGTACTCATCATATGTCGGCAAATTTGGAAATTTTTAAAACTTTGGACGGAGCATATTCTTCCAAAGTAAGGCTTGATGATGGGAGACTAGTGGATGTCAAAGGCAAAGGTGTTGTGTACGTGCAAACTTTATCGAGTACAAAGCTTATCTCCGATGTTCGTTTATGCCCGATATTCAACACAATTTATTAAGTGTTGGTCAGCTTCAGATAAGAATTACTCGGTTAAATTCAAGAACAAATTCCGTGAAATTATTGATCCTTACGGTATAAAGCTTTTATCTATTAAAATGCACAATGAAGCTTTAATATTGAGTGGAAACATGATGAAGGCTTTTGTCGGTATTGAATTTAACTCTTGTTTGTGGCACAAGAGGTTGGGTCACATAAATTATGATGCTCGAAGTTGCTTGAAAGGAGTAAAATGGTGGATGATTTACTCGTCGTGATCGGGATTTCAAATGTATGTGGTACCTGTCAACTTGGCAAATTGAGAGCAAAACTCCATTTCCCGTAAACCAAGCTTGGAGAGCAACCGAAAAGCTTCAGCTGATTCATACGGATGTATGTGGACCCATGAGCATATCTTCTTACAATGGCAGCAAATATTTTCTTTTATTTATTGATGATTTTTCAAGATATTGCTTGGGTCTATTTTCTCAAAAACAAATCGAAGTGTTTCCTATGTTTCAAAGATTCAAGGTCGCTCGTAGAAAAACAAAGTGCTCATGTCATCAAGACCTTGAGGTCCGACAATGGCACCGAATATGTCTCTTCTCAATTTCAATCATTTCTTCAAAAGGCGGTATTCATCATCAACTCACGATCACTTATACACCTCAGCAAAATGGTGTAAGTGAAAGGAAGAACAGATCAATCATGAACATGGCAAGGTGCTTGTTGTTTGAAAAAGGTTTACCAAAGAAGTTATGGGCGGAGGTCTGTAAACACTCGTTGTCTATCTTCAAAATAGACTTCCAACTAAAGCTATTAATGGTAAAACACCTTATGAAGCTTGGATAGGTGTCAAACCATCGGTGGCTTTTTTGAAGGTTTTTGGAAGCACTTGTTATGCTTATGTTCCCGATGCAAAGAGAGACAAGCTTGATCAAAGGGTGAAGTTGGTGTCTTTGTTGGTTATAAGCATTGTTTCAAAAGGATATCGAATTTTAAATCCCATAACCGAGAAGGTTTATGTGAGCGGGAGTATAAAATTCGATGAAAATGGTGTCTCGGAATTAGGAGAAAATGATTAGAGAGTCCTCAAATCAAAGCATTAATGCTGAAAATGCACCCGAGCTTCATAATGAGACTTCGAGGAGGAGGATTCGATGATGAGCATCATCCGAGTGAGAGGCACCGAACTCGCAAGATATCTATAACGGATGCAATGTAGCTATATTTGAACTCGCATCGATTGATCAAGCTTTGCAATCTCCAAAATGGAAAGCGGCCATTGAGGAAGAATTCAATATGATTGTTAAAAATGACACCCGGTTACTTGTTAACGGACTAGAAAATCAACAAGTAATTGGTACAAAGTGGGTGTTCAAAGTGAAGGTGAATCCGGATGGCTTAATCGGAAAATACAAGGCTAGATTAGTTGTGAAAGGCTACTCTCAACAGCAAGGTATTGACTTCATTGAAACCTTTGCTCCCGTAGCTAGATTTGATACAATCGGATTATTGCTTGCCCTTGCTTGCTCATGAAGAGTTGGAGAGTCTATCGACTCGATGTTAAATCAGCATTTCTCAATGGTGTTCTTGAGGAGAAAATTTACATTGAGCAACCCGAGGGTTTTGTTATTAAAAATGCTGATGATAAAGTTTATTTGCTTGAAAAAGGCACTATATGGTTTAAAACAAGCCCCTAGAGCTTGGTATGCAAAGATTGATGGCTACTTGCTTGACTTGGGATTTGAAAGGAGCATCAATGAAGCTACACCGTATGTAAAACAAGTGTATTATGAAATTCTAATTGTTTCAATTTATGTTGATGATATCCTTGTCTTTGGAAGCAATCCAAACTACGTGAAAGAGTTTAGAAAGCAAATGGAGGGCATGTTTGAGATGAATGATTTGGGGCGGATGTGTTATTTTCTAGGAATGGAAGTGTCTCAAGTTTCAATAGGCACTTTTATTTCTCAAAGGAAATATGCCACGGAATTATTGAAGAAGTTTTCTCTAATTGGTTGTAAAGTCATCAACACTCCAGCGGTTCAAGGATTGAAGTTACAAACAAATAATGGTTCAACATCCGTTGATCCTTCAATCTTCGGGAGTCTTGTTGGCTCATTACTCGTATTTGTCAATCACAAGACCGGATATAATGTATGCAACTAGCATTCTATCAAGATATATGCACATGCCAACCGAAAATCATCTCAAAGCGACCAAAAGGGTCCCGAGGTATATTCGGGGTACAATTTCATATGGTGTGTTGTCTAGGAGGAGTTCGACCTTGAAATTACTTGGATTCTCCGATAGTGATTGGGCTGGATCACTTGAAGATTCAAAAAGCACCTCGGGCTATTGTTTTACACTTGGATCGGGTGTTATATGTTGGAGTTCAAGGAAGCAAGGTTCCGTTGCTCGGTCTACTGCTCGAGGCAAAGTATATGGTTGCATCTGCTGTTGTTAATCAAGCATTATGGTTAAGAAAAATGATGAGTGATTTGAAGTTTAAGCAAGAAGCTCGCTACAATGATTTTGTGTGATAATAAGTCTCGCTGTTGCAATGGTTAAAAATCTCGTTTTTCATGGAAAAACTAAGCACATTAAAATCAAATATCATGCTATTAGAGAAGCAGAGAAGGAAGGTGAAGTTGTGCTTGTTGCATTGTTCGAGCAGAGGAACAAGTCGCTGATATTTTCACCAAGGGTCTGCGGAAGAACAGATTTGAAGAACTTAGAGGCAAGCTTGGTGTTATGCATAGCTCTTGCATCAAGGAGGAGTGATGAAGCTTGTAGTTCATGATCACGTACCGATGCAAAGCCATGCACCGGATCTTGCACCGGATTTTGTTCCTTTTGTTTTTGAATATTTTGTAATACAATTAATGAATGTACTCGAAGTTTGAATGACTTGTGGTGGAACTTAATTTCAACTTTAGACAAGGGAACAAATTTCCTTAAATTATGGAAATTTGATAGTGAATTACTTTTTGTATCATTATAAACATGTCTCTGCAGTAATGAAAAGAGTGAATTCCCTTTCATTTTTTGTCTATTTTCTTCTTCTTTCATACGCATATACCGTAAACTTTCTACGGGTTTACTATAGTTTGTCTTCTACTACATAACATTCCAAACGAAGAAATTTCCACTCGTAGTTCTTTTTTCCGGCTTCATCGTGTTCATTAAATGCTTTTCAGCCACCATATATAACGAAATCATTGGAATACTCATCTAATACCGTAGACAACAATCAAC